GTGTTTTGTTTTTGTTTTTTTTTTCGAAGCAGCATGTCAGCGCGCAGGATCGCTCTCCGCCATTGCGCTGACTGAGCTTCGTCCTTTGGAACGCCGAACAACGCGTGCTTTTTTTTAGCTGTCTTGTAGCCTGTAGTGAACCCCGGGACGAAGCAATGACTTTGTTTTCATGCCATGAGAGTGCATACAGACGCATTGGTGTCAGAGTGCCACCGCAATAAAAAAATGGCAGCATTACCACGGAGTGAATGATGGAGAGTGGGGCGAAGCATCCGTCCCTTTATTCGTTCTTGCTTCCGTCCGTCCACGCGTCCGTCTGTGTCACCGTCCGTGCGTCCATTCACCCGTCCGTGCATCCGCACGTACATCTGTGCGTTCGTCCCTGTGTTCGTCCATGCATCTGCCCCTGCGTCCGTCCATGCGTTCATCCGTCGGTGCAGCCATCCGTGAGTCCGTCCATGCATCGTCCATCTATTCAACACTCCAAGTACCACCATCTCGCATCTTTTCATCACATATTCCCGATATAGAAGCACCGCCATCCAGCGGACATTCCAAGGACTAAACGAGAGATGGCACACGCACACTTTCTTACGGTTTTTGCTTCGTGTCTACTTCTTACCTTAAACCACCTCGACTTCATGGTATATACTACTTCACTGTATTCATGGCACTGCGGCCCAACACTCGCTAAACCTTTCTAAAACCAAGGTGGTTACGCCCGGCGAGTATAACGTAGCAACCCTTTCTTGTCAGATAGTGCTCAATGTACATGCCAATGGCTGCTAATGAGGAATGAGAGACAGGAGAATTCAGCTTTGACTTTCTTACAGCTTGCACTTCGTACCTACTTCCCACCTTTAACTACCTCGAGTTCATGGCATATACTACTTCACTGTGTTCATGGCACTGCGGCTCAACGCTCGCTAAACATTTCTAAAACCAAGGAGGTTACGCCCAGCGAGTATAACCTAGCAACCCTTTCTTCTCAGATAGTGCTCAATGTACATGGCAATGGCTGCTAATGGGGAATGAGATACAGGAGAATTCGGCTTTTAGTAAATGCACATGCTACGAATTTTTTATTGTTCAACAACATACAGGAGAAATCTCCCACCGGCACCACTTTGCAGGTCAAAAGGTAAGACTGGTTACACACTATGACTACGAGGGACGAACGGGTGACGCTATAAGGAGCTGCACCCCTAAAAACGAGGACAAACGCGCCTGATGAAACTGTCAGAAACGTGCAAACAAAGTGGATGGATGGATGGATGGATTTCTTGATGTGGCTGTACCCTTTAGATCGGAAGGCGGCTAACGCCACCTAGCCATAATACTTAGTGAACCACCAACTAGAGTTATCCTTTTTTCCCCTTTAAATAGTGAAATATAGGACTGGTACTTTGCAGTGAATGGTTTAATTTTCACTCTTGCCTTGACTTTAGCCACCAATCAGATAATCTCCTTCAAGTTAATTCTACCCGCTTAAAGTCTATTTTGCCCTCCCTGTCTCTAAACACCAGTGCTTTGAAAAACTGCGCCATCATCCTGAACTATAGTGTGAAGCCCTTCACAGAACATTATCAAGGGTTCGGCAGTTTCCTCCTCCGCTTCACACGCACTGTATACCGTGTCTACCCCTTCGTATTTGGCCCGATATGTCTTGGTTCACAATACTCCTGTCCTGGCCTCAAGCAGTAGAGAACTACCCCAAGTGTTATAGATCATAGGTCAGAAACATGCAAACAACGTATAGACGATTGCGCTTGCCTCCACGCGGCTCCTCCTCGGAGGCTTCAGAGCGCTCCGTGGGCGCTGCTCACCGCTCATCACACTTTCCTATTGCAGCCACTGTACTGTTGTTGCAGTGTTTTGCGATTCATTGCTGTTGGCGCTATGCTGCGAAGCATATTGCAAGACCCTTTGCTTCTCTCTCAACTCAAATGGTCGGAAATAGAAGATCTAGTAGCACTAGAGGTGCTAGGCGAGACTCTCCGTGAACCAATTTCCCCATGTGGCCTGCTCAACATTGACGCTATGGACAACGGCATGTTCCGAACTTGTTTTCGAGAAAGAGGACATAGTGAAGGTACGAATAGCTTTGTGCATTCCGCTCAGAGAGTGCCGATCCCAGGAGACAAAGCCCTCTGCATCTTTTTCGGCGGCTGGCCTATCCAAACCAACTTAAAGACCTCGAGAACTTCTTCGGCCGACACAGCTCGACAATATCATCCTTGACGATAGAGGTCTTGAGGCACCTCGATGAGAAGTTTTTCCACCTGCTGGACGATGTGAATAATTACAGCTGGCTGACCATTGACACGTTGGAGAACTTCTTGAAGGTAAGGCGCAATGACAGCAGAATAGAAGCTACATTTGTGCAAATTGGAGATTGTGGCATACCTGTTGACTTTTCTGTGTTTTTTTTTTCAGGCCATTTATGCTAAAGGAGCCCCACTTATCAACTGCTGGGGCTTCATTGATGGCACTGCACATGCTGTATGCTGACCAACTAGGCAGCAGCAGCTGTATTTTAGCGGGCACAAAAGATTTCATGCCCTGAAGTATCAATCGATAATGTGCCCGAATGGCATCATTTGACAGTTGGATGGATGTTATCCAGGCTGCAAGCACGATTTGGTGAGTAAAGGGTAGTTCATATACCCGGAAGTTACATTCTCCTTCATGTTGTTGTGGGACTGTCATGTACAACAAGTATCAAACAAAATAGGTCGAATTCCTAGGGATACAGATCGTTTGAAATATATCCTTTCCACACAAACTATGGTGCTGGCTTGCAGCTCAGTCAAACTCACATTAGATCATTGTCACTTAGCTTGGAGTACATTAGGTTAAGTGGCATTCACTTAATCCAAGAAAGGTACCTCACACATGCATATAAATTCTCACAGCACACTTCGGCTGCAGCTTTATTTAGTCACCATAAAGTGACCAAAGCACAAAACCCTGATGAATTTTGCCTTAGTGTGGTATTCATGTCGAAAATTAGAAATACTAAAGCCAGTCTCAGGAAATTAGCTGAACTAAGTAAGACCGGAGTAGCCTATTCAAGAAGACATGGCAAGGAAAAGATAGTGCTGACACGTGAACTTTATATCTGAAATGAACACCTTTATTATACTCTTGCATCTCTCATTAAGTGCTATGCTGTCATTGATTTTAGTTTGTTTTCCCACTGCTACAAATGACTTCACACTGTATTAAAATAACATGCATTAGGTTCACTTGTGTATGCACAATGCTGTTTTCTGTATTCTTTGGTATTTCCTTAATGGACTTCTCTGTTTTAAATTCTATATATAGCTTTAGTGCTTCCTCCATGTTGAACATCCATCTTGCAAGAAGAAAAAAATAAAATTTAGTAAAATAAGCAGATGCATTGAGAGCCTGCTAGGGCATCTCGCCTATTCTGCTGCTACTTTTATACTCTGTACCACACCTGTACCCAATGTTTGATCAGCAGGCGTAGTGGTGCTAACGCAGTATCTCATTTCAATTTTTTTAAGGTAACTTTGACAACAGCCAGGCGTACACAAAGCTAGAAAAGCTGGTGCAGGGACACCCCTACTGCCTTACTGCCTTTACGGGGACCCTGCTTACCCATTGCGGCCACTACTGTTGAAACCTTATGACGGTGCATCTTTGACACATGAGCAACGTGCGTTTAACAAGGCAATGAGCAGCGTGAGGCAGGCCGTGGAATGGGGCTTTGGAAAAATTGCTGGGCTCTTTGCCTTTGTAGATTTCCAAAAAAACCAAGAGATCTTCTGCCAGAATGTTACAAGGATGTATAAAGCGAGCGCATTGCTGGCAAACTGCCATACTTGCCTGTATGGTGCACAGGTCTCGCACTACTTTGACCTGCAGCCACTATCCTTGGAAGTGTACCTGAATGCCCGTTAACTTTAAAGGCAGCTTTCAATGTGGCACTGGGGAATCCCTTTGCTTATTAAAAGAATGAAGTGTGCAACAAACCACTTTTTTTATTATTCAACTGCTTCCAGACATTCTTCTTGTTAGGTCTGTTACTTCTTGGCTGAGTTTAACGAACATCTGTTCCACATGCTTCACAAAGTCCACGTGTTCCTGCTGGCGACTTGTCATCTCAAGTTCGTGCTTTTTTTCATCAAGTACCTGCCTGCGCTCCTCCAGAGCTAGTTGTCTCTCTTCAATGTCCAATTTCCTGTTTTCGATCGCAAGTTGTCTTCGCCGGATCTCGAATTCGTGCGTTTGACGCATAGCCAACAATTGTAAGCCCATGCTTTGTAGGCCTCTTATTCCTGCAAATTTTGGGAAATGAGGCTATTCAGTAAGTCCGTTCACATATGCATATCACATGTCATAGAAAGTTAATTTGATGAACTCGTAACACAAACATATCAGTCTTCAACTCTATGCTATCGCACATCATTTAGTGATGACCTATTTTGTGCTTCAGCAGGATGATCCCCGAAGATTGATAACATCGCAGCCGTTGCTAGGATCCTGACATTTTGTGTAATGACAAAATAAAAACTGTTCAGTTACTGCTATTTATATGTGTTCAATGTAAAGAGAGGCTCAAAGTTTCTGAGTTGTCGTATGCTAACCTCATCCAAAACTCCCTCTTATACGTGGTAAAGAAAGCAATCACTCTTTTCACCTTGCTTGTTGTACATACAGATGGTAAATCATGGCCGTGACTCGCATCACAGTCTTGTCCTAAGTTACTTTTTAGAGGTGTGACACTTGTCTAAAAATAACACCAACGATAACCATTCATGTGTCTATACCTGCATGCCGTGTTCATTTTAAACGTGATGTTCACATGCTACCAGTGTTCGAGCAATGAATGTAAGGTATTGGACTAGTTGGTCTTGCGTATAGTGAAACCAAGTAGCCCAATGTTGTAGACTCTACAGGGACATCATGTTGCCCATTTGTACTGCGCCTTGTGGCAATATTGCATCATGTTAGGACGTGACATAAAGAGTCCTTCAAGATTTACCTCTACTCGCCGTTACAGGAACCCGTTGCCTAGCTGCAGGCGGCAGTTGTGGCTGCAGCTGCTGCTGCTGCTGGTGGTGTTGCTGTTCCTCCTCCTCCTCGTTGCACGGCTCTCCGGTGAGTTCAACAGCAGCGGGACTGCGCGGGGTGGTCATTGAGAGCAGGAGTTGTGCAGCATGTCCTGATTGTAATGCATAATAGAAAACAGGGAGATGTTAGATAATGGCACACTAGGACATTCCATTACAACTCTGCCACATTGGGAACCCCCAGTAGAGAATAACTTTCTTGTATTACAATGTTGCATAACCGTCAAAATTGCTAACTAATGTAATGAATGAATGTTGTGAGCTCACACGCGAATCACACTTTGAAAGTTTACTTTGCATGGTATAGGTTATGTTAAAAAGTAAAACAAACTATTACAGACTTACTTTTACTGAAAACCACAAATGAACAATTCGCACTGTTATTATGCAACATCATGGATTGACAACTTCATTAACGAGTTAGGTCGATACATGATAATGCACCTGCTGCTCGGGATCACTGCAAATTATTGCTTTTCATTGCTGTCACTATAAGAATCAATAGAGTTGGCAGGCAGGGCAGAAAGAGTGAAGAATTGAATTGCTGCACAAACTTGAAGAAAAAAACAAGGGAGACAGGAAAGAGCGCAGTTTGTTTTTCCTTCTCCCTTGTTTTTTTCTTCAAGTTTGTGCAGCAATTCAATTCTTCAAGTATGAACCAACTAGTCTGCAAAAAAGTATTGCTTCAGAAAGAGTGCTTCATTTCTTTTTCAGTTGTTGCAAATATGCAAGCAGTTATAGAATGCGAGATACTTCAAGTGTTGCAAGATATTGCATACGTATGATTGTGATCGTAGAACCAATTTATCGATTTCAGAGAGATATGAGGCTTTACTGCTGCACTCACCTTGATCTTCACCTGCACAAACTTGTTCCGGCGGCGTCGCCAGACAGGACGCAGCTGCGTGACTTCTTTTGCGGCCAGAGCTGTTTGAACTTCTAGGTGCTATTCTGGGGACATAATTTGTAGACCCCACATAATCCGACAGTTCCTGCAGTATGTGCTCCTTTTTTGTATATTGTTCTTCCGTTCCAGACCTGCAAAGCAAAATGCGAGCATGTCACAAGAGGCTTGCTTCTCTTTAAAACACATCTCTAAATACCTGCTCACGCTAGTGGCATGGCGATGGCTCTCAAAAACGATGCCGAATCGGGACGAATACATTGCTGTCGAAGCTTGACCCTTAGTTTCCCATGTGCTATACGATTGTGCAAACAACATTTTTTTGGCATATATGCAATAAAAGCATATAAAAATGAGCAATTACACAGAAAATTTAGAAATCATAAGTTTAATTATGCAAGAAAATGAGTGTCCACATATGTGGACAGTGGGAACACTGGTTATAACAGGTGAAACCGCTCGAAACAATTTGTGGGACCATTTTCCTCAATGAACAGGTAGACTTGGCATTTTTTGCACTGCATGCGGGTCTTCCATTTACATTCTGGCATTTTGCAGCATTGAGCATTTGACTGAGCAAATTTTATGGGCATGTGATTGATAGAGTCATACCGTACTGCGCCAGGAATATCCGAGGGCCTGTTGGAGAGTCCAGTGCAGCCAAATACACTCTGCTCTTCAATATTCTCTATGGCTTACTCGGCTTTCATCAAACCTAATGCCATTTGAAGCTTGTAGTCAGCCAGCTGCATTGGAGATCCTTTTGTGGCACGATAGAGCAGCCAGCTGTTGACGACGGCTAGATCAAGTAAGTGGAATATTATTAGTTTGTATCACTTCTTTGTCTTCAGGTCGTTCCTGTAGAATGCAAGCAGCTGGTCTGCCCTATCTACACCACCCATACTTTAGTAGTATACTTTCACTTTGGACTTCAACAAATGACTTCTGCTTTCGGTCATATCTCCGGCAGGACCCAACAGGGTTCACACTGTTTGTTTGACCCAAGTGTTAACAGTTTGATTGTCGTACCACTGATAAATCAGAAGGTCGTTTTGCTTTTCCCGGCGAAAATGGAATGAGCCGCAACCTTCGGCCTTCAGCTCCTTTTCGTTTTGCAATTGATAGCGGTCCTCCCGCTTCTGGGAGTTGAAGTACAGCCCAACCCACGCCACTTCCTTTCAGTGAGAAGTTCCGCAGATGCGAAAAAGTTGTCACAAAACACTTCTTTTCCTGTGCAGCCTTCTGTCAAACGGACAACTATCTTCCCACTTTCACCAATCGCACTCTCAAGTCCTATCGGCTCCAAAACAAGGTTGTCACCGTATAGCTCAAGCTTATACACGTAGCCTGACCTACCAGTGAGTGTCCACACTTTATAGCCCATTTTTTTGTTTTTTTCATTATGTGGACTTTTAGGCTGTGCATACCTTTGAAAGGGATTATCATTTCATCTACTGCCAGACATGTTTCCATCTCAGCGGCGCCCAAAACATTTTTGTTTAGGACTTCCAAAACTAGACGCACTCTGTAGAGGCGATCATATCCATCTTCTCCTTTTTTTTTCATATTATCGTTGTTTGCGGCATGGAAGAGAGAAATAATTTCATCAAATCGGTTTCGGGGCATGCAATCTGCAACGTGTGCCTGACGCAGTTGTCGAGACCAATACATGCGCCTGAATGGTAGACACACAACTGACATGTAGAGAACTACCTCTAGAAATTTTCTGATCTCATCTATTCTTACAGGCTTCACTTTTGTCTTGTTGTTCTGGACACGGAGGCGATTAGTTTCGAATGTCAGATGCTCTAACAACTCCTCATCGACAAGTCTTGAAAACATGTGAAGTGGCGTTTTCGCCTCTTTGGGAGTCACCAGCGGAACAAGTTCGCTCTCAGGAAAGCCTTCATTTAGAGGGACATCTTTTTTCACCCAATGCCAAATCTTTTTCCTCTTGTTTTTCACTGTGGACGATTCTTCCACTTCTAAGTCTTCATCTGATGAGTCATCTACATACTTGTCGATAGGACCTTTGCTTGATGGCTCTGCCTCAACGCGCTCGTCATTGGAGCTGTCCATATCGGAACCACGACCTGCTATATAAACTTCAGACCTGCTCATGGCGTCGCTCCCCCTGTCACCAGATTTGCTTTTGCTCGTTTAGTTTTTTTTGGTTCTCGAAACGGCCACAGCACGTTGTGGCACTACCACTAACCCCCATCGTGTTAGCGGCCACTTAATTCTTCATACACTCCCAGTTGCCGCCAACACAGAGTCTGAAGTTTGCTACATTGGATAGGTGCCCCTTTGTGAAGCTGTTGCGTGTAATCAGTTGCTATACATAGTCGGCAACATCGTCAAGGGACGGCAGCAGTATAATACCATTTTCTGTGATGGTATACTGCTGCGTTCCTTACTGAAAGTCCAGCAAGCGACTTTCTGGAAGCGACTTTCTCTAGGAAGGGCAACTTTCGTTGCCCTTCCTAGAGAACGACGTCAGTGTCTGCCGCGCTAGTGATGGGTGATTCGGAGAATGAGCATTTGGGTTCACTTTGGAAGTTAATTAAACTATATTTTGTCACGTTTGTTAAACGTTTGTTACGTCCAACCCTTCGTGTGGAGTGTCCTTGCGTACAGAGAAAACCCACGACAGGCTTGTTATATATAGCCTCAAAGTTTGGTGTCACCACCCCTTTAAATGATGCTTTAAACTCGAGGAGTTGCATAAAATATTTTTCCATCTGCCCCCTCACACCAAACTCCATTTCATAACAGCCTTTTTCCTGCCACTAAAATCAGAACGTCTATTCCATCACTGATAATGACTGCACATTCAATGTTGGAAATGTGCCTGCCAAATGCAGGTGTTTCAGTGTATGCTGAGTGAAATAAACTCATTTAAATTATGAACTTGCTTCTTAATTCTGCATCCTGCAGTGGGAAAGCTCCCACAGGTACCGGCAAAAGCTTCCGAGGAATACACTTTTGTATCTTCAGCACCAAGCATGAAATTTATGAACTTGTGTAGTAGTGAAACATATATGGGACATTAAAATTTCGTTCTTCGAAGTTATTGCCAAACAGGCCTTCAGGATGCATTATGTGCATGATATCAACCAAGAAATTTGGAAATTCAGCCTTTGATCAGAAACAGTGTATGCATAGTAGGTATTGCTGTGTAGGTTAACACAGTTTTGCAAACGATAAGACTTGTTGGCAGATATAAAATTTTGTGAAACAAGAAAGTGATAGTGCAAAGTGGATAGTCGGAATACATAAAATGATAAGGAGAGCAACTGATTAAGTTGGGTTTGTCTCGTAATGTTTTTATATGAAGCATATTCTCAAGAGGGTGTACCAGCAATGATGAGAAAGTGTGGTGGCCCCGCCGAAGCAAGATACGTGGTAATTTTATGGAAGGCACATCAACGTTTCAACTGAATGTAACCGCGATGACTAAATTTATATGCTGGACATTTTGAAAATACTGTTGGCGCGAACTGTCGTTGTCGAGGCAAGCCGCTACGTTGCTAAAACTTTGACATGTGCAAGGGCTGCACGTTTACGTCGCCTTGAGTTTGCTTGATCCTGACGGTTACAATTATCGCTTATCACACACCCTTCACATCTGGACAGCGTGGAAATGGTGAGTCTTGAAACAGAAGTTCTTGCAGCGGCAACGAGTTGGTCCTGAAGACAGGAGACAGCGTGGGTCTAGCAGGGCAGAGTGCCCTGCGGAAACTCCTGTTTTAAGATGTGCCGTCAACCCCTGAATTACTTTTCCACAGCTGATGCGAGGCTCCGTGAAGCGAAGTTAGAAATGTAGCGGTTGCATTTCCCCCTTAATTTTTAGTATATTATTTGTTTTTGCGGCATATGTGTTCCCGACTGTCTGTTGGCCGTCTGACGGAAAGTCGGCTGATCAACATCAATTCTACTCGACTCCAGCGCTCATTATGACTAGTGTGTTGCCTCGAGATATTAAACCCCGTGAATCAGTCAGCCCACGCGTTAAAAGCAGAAACACACACCCGCACATGAATGCGCACACGGACATGAACATACGCACCAGTGCGCGGGGACTTCGCCGCGCGCTCAATGTAAACGACGGCGCATCGTCTGCTATGTGGGTAAGTTCTGGCGGCACTTTCAGTGCCTACACATCAATTTTCAGGTCCATGCGCCGCCGTAAGAAAGTGTGCCGGTGAGCAGGTCGGACTGTCACGGTGGAGGAATTCGGTTCGGACTGTCACGGTGGATGGACGTGTTTTTTGAGCGCTCCTGATCGACTGCGCAGATAAGTTGTTTTGCATGTTTTGAGCTTGTCTTTATAATTCTAAGGCAGCAGTTAAAATCCCTGTAGCGCTTATTTTATTGAAGGGCTTTTTCGGGGGTCAGTCACCAGGTATTAGTTTGTGCGCGTGTGTGTGTGATATTTGTTTCCTTGTTGTTCTTCTTTTGCCACCCCCGCGGGGTAGGTGCACATGCATTGAACACGCAAATTTTTGTAGGAGAGCTTAGACTCTCCTTTTCGTAGGGCAGGGCTCAAGTTTTGTAATTCTCGAGTGAGAAAAGTCATAAGGACAATTTGTGTCGGAAAGACATGGTTAAAAAGACTGTAAAGTGTTCAGGATGTGGGGTGGCTTTGAAAGTGAACCCAAGAGTAGAAGCGGAAGGAGAAGAGGCTGACGCGAAGTGTAGGCAATGTGAGGTCGAGGAAAAAATAGAGAAAATGATGGTTGCCCAGATTGACCTGCTGATGAGAATCACCGAGCTCGAGATTGCGTTGGCGACAGAGCAAGAGAAAACGAGGGTTATGGGAGAAAGACTGAAGTCCGTCGAGGAAGCACTAGCCAAGGGAAACACAGGAGCGGCCTACGGAGAGAACACTAGGGAACCGGCAACCAGAACGGCAGAGAAAAAAGAGCAAGCAGGTTCGGAAAAAACAGGTTCAGCTGGTTCAATTGTCGCAAGGCCCAGCTTCAGCGAAGTAGTGGTGGGGCTGGGAGGGGACAAAGCAGCCGGCGTCACAGGGGCAAGTAACCCCCAGGTGCAGGACGCTCCAGCTGAAAACTCATAGCATGTGATAATCGCCGGGGACTCGAATTAAAATCGATGCACAGAAGCCATAAAA